ACTTGAAGGCTAAAATCAAAAAAGATAATGACAAATATTGGCAAGGATGTGAGGACACTAAAACCCACATACATTGCTAGTGGAAATATAACATGGTACAGCTGCTGTGGAAAACAATTTCCAGTTCCTCAAGGAGTTAAACATAGAGTTGCCACATGATACTAAGACAGCCAGGTGGGAAGGGGTCCCTGGCCAAACTCCAACTGGACTATGCACAGGGGTGGAGCCACGGAGGTTCGCGCCTGGCCTCTCCTCTGCCTATGGCACCTGGGATTCAAATGGAGGATGAGGGAAGCACTGTAGCAGGGACTTCTTGCAGTGGGTCCCTGTTTCCCCCTTTTTTCCTTCTCACCCAATAGAATTCTGCTTACTCACCCTTCAAACCATCTGCGAGCCTGAATTTTCATGGCCATGGGACAGACAAGGACCTCGTCGTTAGCTGAACTAAGAAGTCCTGCAACAATACTGTGTTTCACTCCTAGGTATTAACCCAAAAGAACTGAAAAAATATGCTCATACAAAAACTTGTACATGGATGCTCAGAGCAGCATTATTCATAATAGCCAAAAAGTGCAAATAACCTAATGTCCATCAATGGATGAATGTATTAACAAAATGTGGCATGTCCATACAATGGAATATTATTGAGCCATAAAAGGGAACAATACATGCTACAACATAGATGAAAGGCCATCTGTTGTATTCCATTTATATGAAATGTCCAAAATAGGTAAAGCTACATAGATAATAAGAAGATTGGTGGTTTCCAAGGGCTGGTGGAATGGGGAAATGAAGAGTGACTGCTAATGGTTGAGTGGTTTCTTTCTGAGGTGATGAAAACATTGGTTGCACAACCTTGTGAATATACAAAAAACCATTGAACTGGACACTTTAAAATGGTAAATTATATAGGATGTGAACTATAACTTAATATTACCAGTGGGAATGTAAATTGGCACAATCTCTTAAGATGCAATTTTACAATATTTATCAAAATTACAAATGCATCTACTCTTAAACCCAGAAAATTCCATTTCTAGGAACTTATCCTTCATATATGTTCCAATATGTATAAAATGGCATATGTACAAAGTATTCACGTCACCATTCTTTGATATATCAAAAGGCTGGAAACAACTTGCATGTTCATCATTATGCAACTGGTTAAATAAACTACAATGTATCCATTTAACAAAATATTATGCAGCCCTAAAAGCTGTGAGGACAATCTTTAGTCAACGAAATGGAATGATTTCAAATAAGTAAAAACAAACAAACAAACAAAATAGGAGCTGCAGATCAGTGTGAAGAGTATGTTACCATTCACATAGAAAAAAGAGAGAAATGATACATATAAATATATATTTCAGAACATTGTTTATCTACAAAGATGGGAACTGGATGTCTAAGGACTGTGTGTGTGTGTGTGTGTGTGTGTGTGTGTGTGTAGATTTTCACTATAAGCCCTTTTGCAGCTTTTGAGTTTTTAAGCCATGGGAACGTATTTTCTATTTTTAAAATAAAACACAGATTTTTTTAAAGATTTCACAAATAATGAATGAATGAGTCATAGGGCAGTGGGAAGTCCCCTAGCCTGAGTGTAGAGAGACCTGAATTTCTAGTTCTTGAATTGGCCAGTAACTACTTACCCCATCTGCTAATTAAGTCTCCTCCATTGCCTCCAACCTGTACCCAGTCCCTACACATTTTTCACCATAGCATGCACTTTTAAAATAGTTCATTTGTGAGGCCTCTGAAAAATTAAACGTCTCAATATAAAAGGTTGAATTCAGGTTCCCAATTAAATAAGTTCCTAGCAGCATAACAAGTAGTACACGCAATTTTTAAGATACGTTGTGTTGGGCAAGATTAATCTTTCTACCAGTAGATGGGGTTAGTATGATAGGTATGATAATGTGCATTTGCCAAGTTAGAAACTTGCCCTAATGGACACAAGAGCCTAGAGTCAAATTAATTTAGAGCTAGACAAAGTGTAGAGTTCAGCTCAACTCCTCTGTTTCACAGATGTGGAAATGATGGCCACCGAGGTCAGAGTCTGACACGGCCAAGACTGAAACCTACATATCAGTTCCTAACCAGTCCTCTTTGCTCAATACATAATTTCTTAAACCAAAAAAAAACTAAAACTCAGGATTTCATGAGAGTATAAAGTCCAGTCAGTCTAGGCTTGTTTATCAACTTGTGCTTTTCTTTTCTAAAGTTAAGTAATTATGGGAAAGGGGTCTGTAAATATTAACTTAAAGCATGATTGCCAAGTTCATAGATACGACTCTTAGCAACTTCCTTCAAGTACCTCATTTTGAAACAGTCAAAAAATTCCTTCATTTTATTGTCTAAAATTATGCATAAGAAATGACTCAGAAACAAAATCTATTTTTATTTTACATGGAATATAGGCAATTTCTAACTCAGAAATATTATGGGTTGATTCTTTACATTGAACTGTTTAGGAATGACCCAAATGTCCAAAAGTAATACAGGGATTATTTTGTATGTATGCAGCAGCCCTTGCAATGACATTTTTAATAATTTTGAGTAGGCAATATGGCGTAGTGGTTATAAGCATCAACTCTAGGACCAGGCAGCCTGGGTCAAATCCTGGTCCAACCTTTACTGGCCCTGCAACCTTGGGCAAGTTTCTTAACCTCTTACAGCATCAGTTTCCTTGTTATAGAACAGAGATGATAAGAGTTATTGTGAGAATCAAACGAGTTAACACTTGTAAGTGCTCAGAACAATACCAACATACAGTATCTGAGGGAGATTCCTGAGCCCTCCCAGAAATATCTACTTCATTATAAGTGCACACTTGCTCACCCTGGGTAATATCTACCTGGGTCCCATGAACTCTAACAGAATAAAGTGGGTAAGAAAAGTGGAGAAAAAAAATGTTTGGGGAAGCAAGGCTGCTTTAGATACAGCTAGAGGTTTAGAGGTCTCTAAACCTCTCAGAGTGCCCAGTTTCTCTACTCTTCCTTTACTTCATAACCATGGGGTACTCTAAATACTAAAGTTTCTTCTCCAAGACTGAATGTTGGTGACTGGTAGGGGAGGATGTTAGGGGACAAAAGCAACTGATTACAGGAATGGGTTTTGTTTTGTTTTTGTTTTGAGATGGAGTCCTGCTCTGTCGCCCAGGCTGGAGTGCGGTGGTGCGATCTCGGCTCACTGCAAGCTCTGCCTCCCGAGTTCAAGCGATTATCCTGCCTCAGTCTCCCGAGTAGCTGGGACTACAGGCGCAAGCCACCACAGTCGGCTAATTTTTGTATTTTTAGTAGAGACAGGGTTTTGCCATGTTGGTCAGGCTGGTCTCGAACTCCTGACTTCAGGTGATCCACCTGCCTCAGCCTCCCAAAGTGCTGGGATTACAGGCGTGAGCCACTGCTCCCAGCCCAGGAATGGGTTTTTGAAGTTGGTATCTGCTTTCCTGTCCGAGTCTGTTGGAAGGGAGGAAGTTAGAGAAATGAATGGCCCTTCCATTCTTTTGCAATTTGAGTTCAGTTCTCTTACTTCAGCGCAAATGCAGAACCCTTTGGGGCAAACTTCACCTTTCCCTTCTTCTTTACTGGCACATCCCTTTACTCCCACAAAGTGTCCAGGGTGAGATTTGCACAATGTAGGGGATTCCTGATTACACGTAGCAGCCAAAGTCAGAACCGCCAAAAGTACTAAGGTGGATGGTGAAGGGAAGCATCCTTTATTTTCATTTCTAACCTTGGCTACAGCTATTTCTCACCCTTAGCAACACCCAATCTTTCCTCTTTATAAAAGCCTTCAGACCACTGTGTGTATCTTTATCACAAGTAAGCCCTCCCTTCTCTTGATCTTAGGACCACGTGAGGCTAGGGTTGATCTGAAAGGTTATGCAAACACATACTAGGGAGGGCAACGTTCAAATATATATCCCCTGTCAGTAGCACAGTAAGCTTAAAGTATTTTTGTTGAGTAAACAGCATATGTACTCTGTGGAGGTATGCAGGTGGCATCCAACTGTACCCATTTACTGTATTTAATATGGTCATAACTTCAGGGTCTTAGAAATATGACAACCGTATTCAGATTGAGGGGGAAAAAGCCGATTTCCCAAGCCCGAGACGACCAGTGGATGCAGGAAAAGCACAACAGACATGGCCTTGACCACTTTCTAGCTATGCGATTCTTAACATGCCAACGAACCTATACAGGCTTCCTGCCTCGTCTGTAAAAGGCGGTAAAGACAACTACCTCATGCGCTGTTTCAATAATTCACTTTAAAAACAACAAAGTGCTACGCAAATGTTCTTGCTATTCTTAATCATCTAACATCTATGCACCCTCCACATTTATATTTCCTTCATTAAACGCGGAGTCGTTCCTACAGGGAAGCTTTTAAAGAGATAATGAAGATGCTCAGAAGAGTTCAATACAAGGTTACATCTTAAAGGAGTGTCAGCAGCCTAAGAAAACCCAACCTAGCATCAGGTTTCACTCCAGGGGTGTCGAGAACCAGAAAAGAATAATCTTTGGTGGGACACTCCTAACCCATGACCGCTGGGTTCCCGGGGACCAGGGTCGCACCTACGGCGGGCACCCCTTCATTTTACCTCTCCCCTTGTCTTTGCTCCCAGCCCGCGCCCTCCCCAGGCTCCCACCTCAGGACCGCTCAGCCTGCCGGCCGCGGCGCCCAACACCCGGCATTCCCATAAACCCCTTCGCCCGGAGCTTCAGAAAACGAAAGACAAAGCCGCTAGCCCAACCCGGCGGCAGGGGCGCGGGTCCGCTGGGCGCCGGAGCCGGGCATGCGCAGAGGCCACGGCGGGCTGCCGGCCTGCAGGAGCGAGGTCGGGGCGACAAGCAGCCGGGGCCCATACGTGGGTCTAGGGACCGAGCCCCGCCTGCCAGCGCCCGCGGCCTCAAGGGCCGGTTAATAGCGGGAGGGAGGCAGCGAAAGGCGGGGCGGAGGCGGCGCGGGCGGCGAGGGCGCCTGGGGCGCAGCGTACCTGGTAGCGGCCAGTGAGCAGCTGGCTCCGCGACGGCGTGCACAGCGGCTGCGTGTAGTAGTTATCCAGGAGCACCCCGCCGGCCGCCAGCGCGTCCAGGTGCGGCGTGCGGATGCGGGAGCCGTGGAAGCCCACGTCGTTCCAGCCCAGGTCGTCTGCCAGCACGAAGACCAGGTGGGGCGGCCGGCTGGCCTCAGCACCCGAGCCCAGCGGCTCCAACAGCAGCAGCAGCAGCAGCAGCGGGAGGACGACGGGGAGGAGCGACCGCCGAGGTCCGAGGCCTCGGGGCAGGCTCGCCGAGCGGCGCGGACCCATCCTTGGCCTCCCGCGATCCCAGCGCCTGTGGCGCCACCAGCCCAGTGTACCGCTGATAGAATGAGGAACTGGGCGGCCGGGGCCTGCTCCGCCCCGGCGCGGGACGGCACCCCTAGCGGGCCGTGGGCTTGCCAGACCGGGCGCTCGGCCCCCGCCGCCTCCGACCCGGGCCCCCGGCCGCTGTGGCGGAGGAGGAGCCAGAAACAAACCCGCGGGCGCCCGCTGCTCAGCTTCTTGGAAACTAAGCTGACGCTTGGAGGGCACCAAGGGCCGTTATCTTCTCCGGCAATGAACTTTGCACCGTGGTTTCAAAAAAAAAAAAAGATGTGTTATTTTATAACGCTTCAAAATTTACAAAGCATCTGCACAGCCCGCGTCTCCTATAAAGCCTGCAACAACTCTGGCAGCTAGACATTATACTTAGTGCCAATTTTTCATAAGAAAAAAGCTTATAAATGGTTAAGGCTCTGACTCAGATCCTGACCCATGATGTCTAACTAGCAAGTCATTTCTAGCACAAGAGCCCAGCCTGTGGCAGGTGGGAGGATGGTGAAAAGGCAGAGACCTAAATAGTCCTTCACATTCATTTATGCGTAGTGTACAGCCATGAAGCCACTTTCTCCCCACTAGCAAACAGGAGGCCAAACACACAGTCTGATTGCACTGTGCCCTTTGGAAGGTGCAGTTACTTTCAAGGTGCCCTGGGAGGAGTTGGAGTGTTGTATGGTCATTGAAAAGCTCATTTGCTATGACCCCATTCAGAGCTGGCTCCCTCACCAAGCAGTGACCCTAAGAAGCACACAGTATCTAATTAGCCTGAAATATCTGTGAGTGTAAGGAAAAAATCCTTTAGTCACGTGCTTATTGAATTGGGAAGTTAGCTGTATGACCAGTAGATTCCCGTTGCCATCCAGACTTTCTGTCTGTTAACAGGTGTAGGGGGAAATTTTTGCATTGCCTAGAGAACATACCCTTCCAGGTTGAGTCTGATTCCGTGGAAGTTATTTACAACTTTATAAGTTATAGATAAATAACAATGGAAAACAATTCTTATTTATATATACACAAATGAACTTTATCCAGCAGAGTAACAATCCTTCCCCTCCACCACTACTACCAAGGAAAACAGTTTCACCTCCGCTTGCACGTTTTAGTATTCCCGATCTGTTCTTTGGATTGTCCTTTGAATTGCTTTTAACACCTTACCAATTTCCTTATTAATGAGTTAAATAAAATCATGTATTCACTTTTATATTTGTATGAGGGTCATGATTTTACCTTTTTTTCCCCAAGAATCCTTTAATACATATGTTTGCCTCTTACATACTTACACTTTTTTTTCTTTGCATGAAGTAGATTATGTTATATGCACTTTAATCTCCAGTGGAATCAATGAAATTTAGCAGAAAAAAGTGAAAATTTTAGCATTAAATTCAAAGAATAACTTTGAAGTTTGACTCATTATGTCAAAGCTTGAACTTTTCATTTAAACACCCTGTGGAAGACCTTGAAGGACTGAAAATTTCCGCTGTGGTTTTGTGTGTCTTTCTCCCCCGTAATTCTTCTTCCCTATTCTCCTTGATAAAAATCAAGAAGAAATAATTGATGAGTGCTAATCTGCAGGAACAATCCTTCCTTTGACCAGCTTCTCCTGAAACTGGCTAAACTTGCACTGATTCTTATGTCCTATGTTTTTAAATAAAAGCATATGTTAATAGTGCTCTGGAAATGTGAAAATAGAAGAGTTAATTCTATTTTTTGTCTATGTATTGAACACATAGTGTGCAGTACAAGCTAGTTATTTTTTAAAATATCTCAATTGGAGTTTGATGTTTCTTCACGATTAGAGGTTATGGATTTGTGCAGGAATACCACAAAAAGTGATGTGGTATGTTTCTCGGTGCTTCCTATCAAGAAGCACATGATGCTTTCTTATGGGATGACTTTGTTAGGGTAAACATTTCTTCACTGTAAGGTTAATATTTTCTTCTTGTAGTTAATAAATATTTTATGGAGAGAGAATTTGAGAATATGTAAATATCCTATTATGCCTCACACACATTATTTTGCTTACCAGTTTTAGTATCTTGCTTCTTGCTTCAATTAGTTATAATTAGGATGGCTACCAAATGCTGATTTTCTAATTCCTTCATTTCCTCTATATTATTAGAGGAATTATATATGTGAACTAGTGAATTCCTGTTTTAATCAATATACTATACTCCTTTACTATAGTTATTTCAATGCTCAAATTTTCTCTGTTTTGGCCAGTGGGAGCCCCTACAATCTGGCTCATATCCTTTTGGCATGTCCTCTTGAATCTTTGTGCATGTCCACACATTTTGATACAATGAGATTTTCTAGGCTCAACTTGCACTTTTCCTTCCGCAATCCTGGAATCAGACATTTCTCCAAGGAACCATGATTCCGTTTTTTTGTTTGTTTGTTTGTTTGTTTGTTTTTGAGACAGTCTCGCCCTGTTGCCCAGGCTGGAGTGGAGTGGTACAATCTCGGCTCACGACAATCTCGGCATCCAGGGTTCAAGAGATTCTCCTGCCTCAGCTTCCCGAGTAGCTGGGACTACAGGCATATGCCACCACACCTGGCTAATTTTTGTATTTTTAGTAGAGATGGGGTTTCACCATGTTGGCAAGGATGCCCTCGAACTCCTGACCTCAGGTGATCCACCCCCCCTCGGCCTCCCAAAGTGCTGGGATTACAGGTGTGAGCCACCGCGCCTGGCCAGAACTCTGATTCTTTTTAGGGATGACATTTAGAAACCAATCTCTGTGTTTTAGATGTGCTCATTGCTACTGGGCTGTCATCACTTCTATGATCTCTCTCAAGACAAAGATAGGAACTATATATACATATATCTACACACACACATATATAAATGTTTATACATACACCACACCCACATACTATATCTAAACATATATGTATAACCATGAGTTTATCATGAATACCTCTAATTCCATTTCCCCTCATTTCTATACGTATATGGGTTGTACCAATTTTCATCACTAGCTACTGAGTAGTATATTGAAAACAGTTTGGCAATTTCTTACAAAACTAGACCTATTCTTATCCTACAATACAGCAGTCACACTCCTTGGTATCTATCTGAAGAAGGTGAAAACTTATATCCACACAAGAACCTGCACACATGCTTACAGCAGCTTTATTCATAGTTTCAAAAACTTGGAAGCAATGAAGATATCCTTCAGTAGGTGAAAGGATAAATGGTGGTACGTCCAGAAAATGAAATAGTATACAGCAGTAAAAAGATAGGAGCTATCAAGCCATGAAAGACATGGTGGAACACTCAATGCATATTACGAAGTGAAAGAAGCCACTCTGAAATAGCTACATACTATATGATTCCAGCTGTATGACATTTCAAAAAAGGCAAAAATGGAGACAGTAAAAAAGATCAGTGGTTGCTGGGTTTGGGAAGTGGGGATAAGTAGAGGTAGCATGGAGGATTTTTTAGGGCAGCAGTCTCCAACATTTTTGGCACCAGGAACTGGTTTTGTGGAAGACAGTTTTTCCACAGACTGAGCAGCAGGGGTGTGGGGATGGTTTCAGGATGATTCAAGCACATTTCATTTATTGTGCACTTTATTTCTATTATTATTACATTATAATATATAATGAAATAATTATACAACTCACCATAACGTAGAATCAGTGGGAGCTCTGAGTTTGTTTTCCTGCAACTAGATAGTCCCATCTGAGGGTGATGGGAGACAGTGACAGATCATCAAGCATCAGATTCTCTTAAGGGGCGCACAGCCTAGATCCCTCACATGCACAGTTCACAATAGAGTTTGCGCTCCTATGGGAATCTAATGCTGCTGCTGACCTGGCAGGAGGCGGAGCCGAGGCTGTAATGCAAGTGATGGGGAGCAGCTGTAACTATAGATGAAGCTCCGCTCACTCGCCCACTGCTCACCTCCTGCTGTGCGGCCCAGTTCCCAATGGACCACAGACAGTACCATCCATGGCCTGGGGGTTGGGGACGCCTGTTTTAGACCAGTGACACTACTCTTTATGATACTACAATGGTGGATATATGTCATTATACATTCATCCAAACCCATGGAATGTATAACACCAAGAATAAACCCAAAAGTAAATTGAACTTTACATGATTATTTTATGTCAATGTAGGTTCGTCAGCTGTACAGATGTACCACTCTGGTGAGGGATGTTGATAATGGGGGATGTAAGCATGTGTAGGGACAAGGGTTATATGGGAAATCACTGTACCTTCTTCTCAATTTTGCTGTGATCTAAAATTGCTCTAAAAAAAACTAAGTCTTTTTAAAAAAGTACTATACTTTTTTTTCTAATCTGATATGAGAAATGATATATCACTATAGTATTTAGTTTTGCTTTTCTCTTATGATTAAAATGGAACATTTTTCATGTGATGAAGGATCCTTTTAATGTCACTTTTGTGAATTGTCTGTGTTGTTTTCAATTGGGTTTTTGGTCTTTTCCCATTCAATTTTAAGAATTTTTTGTATATTACACAGGTTACCCCTTTAATTGTAGTTATTTATCACAAATATTTTCTTCCAGTTTGTCAGTTGTCAAATTGGTGTTTTTAACATGGAAAAGTTATTTTTTAATGTTAGACAAATTTATCAATATTTTCTATGGTTACATCTGGATTCTGAGTCACAGTTAAACTATCCTTATACCAAAGTTAAAGTAAAATTTACCCATTTTTTTCTACTAGTAATTGCATAGCTACATTTTTACATTTAGATCCCTGATCCATGGGCATTATTTTTGTGTACAATGTGGAATATGGATCTCCTTTTCTTTTTCCAAATGACTGGCCTGTTGTCTCAGCACCATTCATAGGGAATTCCATTTTTGTCCCAATGATATGAGAGCCACGTTTATCATATGCTTAATTTCCACATACACTTGGCTCTATTTCTAGGTTTTCAGTTAGTTGGATTCTACTTGCCTGTTTACTCATAGCACTAGATGGACTCAGATTTAGAGGCTTTACAGTATGTTGACATGTATGATAGGGCTAATGACTCTTCATAGCTTTCCACTTTTAGTGTTTTCCTGGCTATTCCTGTATGTGTTCTTCCTTTTTCTTTCTTTCTTTCTCTCTTTTTTTTTTTTTTTTTTTTTTTTGACAGTGTCTCCCTCTGTTGCCCAGGCTGGAGTGCAGTGGTACAATCATGGCTCACTGTAGCCTCGACCTCCTGAGTTCAAGTGATCCTTTTGCCTCAGCCTCCCCAGGAGCTGGGGACTACAGGTGTGAGCCACCACACTCAGCTAATTTCTCAAACTTTTCTGTAGAGATGGGGTCTCACTATGTTGCCCAGGCTGGTCTTGTCTTGAGCACAAGTGATCTTCCTGCTCTGGCCTCCCAAAGTACTGGGATTACAGGCATGAGCCACCACACCTGGCCCCCAAATTTTTATAATATTCAGTTGTCATATCTAAGAATAAGGAATGCCTTTCCATTTAAGGTCTATTCTTGCACCTTTTAGAAGTGTTTTCCTCATATTAGTTTTGTACTTAAACTTATTTCTAAATATTTTTATCTTCTCTTTTGCTATTGGAATGGGCTTTCTCTACCACTATAACTTTTAACTGGCTATTATTTGTGGACATGAAGGCTGTGGTATCTACCAATTTGTATCCCACCAATTACTGAACTCTTGTATTGTTTGAGTTGGTTTAATCATTAGTTTCTTTTAGGGTTTTCCCAGTACATTGTCATATCAGTAAAAACTATTCCGGTCAATTAGAAGGTGCAAAAATTGGGACAGAAATAAAAGCAGCTCCCAATTCAGAAGTGAGATAAAAGCTCATTGTTTGGCATGTGGGGTGTCTGGAACTCTGAACATATTTTTTACATAGAAATAATATACATAATCACCTGGCTTGCATTCTAACCCTCACAAAACCTATTTAACCCATAGTGAAAATCTTTTATAACTCCTAAAGTCAGTAAGAAAAAGACCAACAAACCAATTTTTAAATGGGTAAAGTATAGGAACACAATTGTTTACAGAAGAGGAAATACAAGTGACCATTAAATATATGAATAGATGCTCAATCTCACTCAAAAAGAGAAATTCAAAGAGAAACA